GCGATCTTAGTAGTAATAGTTACATAATCTAGTGTAACCTCGTTCAACCCATTGTCGATATATTATGATTTTGTCAATTACTTAGAGATCTTTATAAGTGACTGTAGTGGAGGGCTGTGAACGTGTTCTTTAAGCTACAGGGCTAGTAGCCAGTCCTCGAGTCTCATAAGTGTAAAAATTGTTGAAGCAGAAAGGAAGTGTGCAGATTATTTAGCGTTTGAAAAATTTTTTAGTTAGGAAAATATTTGATTTAGAAAACTCTTTATCATTTAAACATTCTTGGCTCATGGTGACTTGGCTTATAAGAATGAGAGATGCTAAAGTTCTGATTTTTTTCTTGAGACGACATATGAGCGAATTCTTGCATATCCTAGAATTGTGATGCTATTTAGTATTTTGCATGTAGCTCGTGGATGTGAAATGGTTAAGTTTTCTTGTGCGTAAAATTTGTTTTTGGTATGAGAGATGACAATTTATGAAGAATTGTGCACACACTCGTATAGGGCCTAAAATGGAGACAAATTATCTTGTTGGTTAAAGAGCTTCGACATTGCTTGAGCTTAGTTTCATTTTCTTTTGTAAGTAAGAAAGTTTTGTTTTTGAAGCTTGAGTCTATCTCTACTCAATAATACTTTAGTGGTTGCTTAAATTTTCTTTGGTTGTTTTTCTTGGTTCGAGGACGAGCAAAATGATAAGTTTGGGGTAATTTGATAAGTGACTTTTGGCTCTAGTAATTTAGGGTGTTTTTGAGTCATTTTATAGTTTTTACCGACATTTCCTTTGGGTAGTTTAATTGTTTTTGGTATTTCTTTCTTTTGTAGGACTTTAGTTGATGAAGAGGAGAAAAAGAGCAAATAAAGAAGCAAAAGTGAACCAAATTTCAGTGCGTTGAGCACCTAGGTGCTGAAAATTGATAAAATGGCAGAATGTTGGGCGCCTAGGCGCCGACCTACAACAGAATGTTGGGCGCTTAAGAGCCGACCTGCAAAATGTTGGGCGCCTAGGCGCTACGAAGTTGGAAGCGGGGTTTTTGCTTGGCACGTGTTTGGGCGCCTAGGCACTCGCAATAGAATTTTGTTAAATATCTCATATTAGCCTTGGCCACTGAGGAGGAAAAACAGAGAAAAAGGAGAAAATCATAGAGAAAGGAGGAAAAATAGGAGGTAAAATAGAGAGAAAAGAGGAAAAACAGAGGAGCATAGTATTTTTAGAGAGAAAAGAGGTGATTTTGAGAAGATTGGAAGGAACACGAACAATGTCGAGAGATCGCCAGATTTGTTTTCTTTCTCCTCTTCTTTCTCTCCTCTAGCTTTAACTTCCTTCAAGGATGTTGATTGAGATTTTCTTTTTGGATTCAAGCATGAACTAAATACATTTTCTAGGGCATTGATGTAGCATTTATCAAACTTGACTCTTCTATGTTCTTTATTTGATTTTCTTTCTAAACTTGTTGGTTGTGAGAACTTTTTATATTCTTAATGCATTGTTGAGACTTGGCCATTCTTTACATTGATTCATTGTCATAAATCGAGGTTGAGAAACAAGATTATTGACTAGATTTGAATAGGTCTCCCAAATTAAAGCAAGAGATAGAAATATTCTTGTGAATTTGGTGGCATAGTTTTTGGATTCTATGTACTTAATTATTTGAATCGTTGGAGTAGTCATAGAAATATAGATAGTCTACTTTTCGAAGAAAATCGTTATTGCTTGAGAAAGAATATCGAGTCAATAGGGTAGAATCTGCCAACAACCATTGTTTAGAAAAGTTTTGAATAAAGTAGTAGGAAGAGTTAAAGGGCAATATTGGTGAAGTCATGCTCTAGAGTTTAATCCGCTTGAATTTATTCTTGATTCTTGATAATTGTGATATTTTCTTTTGTTATTGAACTAGTTTCTGTTAGAATTACTTCATTTCACCACCATTAAACGTTCGACATTCAAATAAAATTGAAGTGGAGATTAATTTTGGTAATTAGTAATCATTCATTCCCGGTGGAGACGATACTTTACTTACTTCTCTATTACTTGTGACGATTGTAGTTTGTTTTGTGAAATTGGGTCATTTATGTGATGCTGGGCGGCCAATTATGAAGCTTGTTGTACTGACTACTGCTGGAAAAATCACGACTTTTTAATTCGTTTTTTTTTTCTTTCTTTCCACCCAATGTTTCTTGAGTGCAACAATTTATCCGTTGTGTTTCGGAGTGATGGTAGAATTAGTGATTTTGAACGAGAGATTTAAGTAGAATTGATTTTCGAAAATCACCATCAAAATGATAACTTAAAAATCAATTTAAAAGTGATTTTAAGCTTTCTTAAAGTCAGTTTTCTAACTTTTCAGATATGATTAATGAAAATACAAGTGATTTTGCACATTCCAAAATCACTCCTAAATACATTCTTGTACTGCTCATGTTACACCAAAATTACTCCATTTTTATCTTTAAACATTTGCACCAAATGGCTCTCTTTTTTTTTTAATTTTTTAAGAAAAAAGAAAGCTCTTTAGTTGTTACTTATCCATCTAATAATCTTGAACCAGAATTAGCTTCAAGTAGAGGGGAGGACTTACTTGAACTGTATGGATTAAAGGTAATCTTGCTGTAGAAAATATTCTACATGTTTGTTCATTCATCTTTTGGAATTGGTATTTCTATGCTTTTTATACGTAAATCTTTAAATTTTATTACGAGTAACTTTATGGTTGAGAACTAAAGTAGAATTCATCACAATTTGTAATTTTTTTTTTTTTACAATTACATATCAAAGATTTGGCTTAAATATTGAAACAGAAATTCCCCACATTGGTTTTTAACATCTTGCATAAAATTTAGTGAATTATTCTTATAAATAAAAAATATAATTCTTATGAATAAAAAATTTATACATATTATTCTCGTACATTGTAAATTATTTCTACTAAATTTTAAATGTAGCTCCTAAACAAAAATGTTGAGTCCACCCCTGATATCCAATATTTATGTGTTGGTACAAGTTTTGAAAGAAGTAAATTCGAATATTTCATCTTTAGTCTCATACATACAATTTCTTTCTCCTTTTTCTCTCGATGCACACAATAATTTTTTTTTCTGATGTTTGTTTGGTTGAAAATTCGAATTATGTTTATCGTGTTCAAAAACTAATTTAGTGAATATGATGTTTGGCAGACTTATTTTCAAAATTATTTTAGGATTTTGTGATACAAATAGTGTGAATTCTTAAAATTTAAGTGTTTCAAGATTCTAAATTTGAAATTTTAAAATGCAGAATTACATTAAAAATGATAAAAATTTTGATAAATGCACTATTTCAGGTAATAAATTCATTTAAATTTTGTTAAAGTTAAAAGATGTAAAAAATAATATATTATAAATTATATAATATTATAAAATAAATAATTATACAAAATTTAAAACATATATTTTAATAAATTAATTAATAATATTTTAGATTGAACTAAATATTTAGTTGTTAATTACCACTACTTTACAAATATATTACTAAAGATAATTTTTAATATTTAATTTAATTTTCAAATATGCTATCCAACACGTATTCGAAAACATGAAATACAATTTTGATTTTTGAATCTCACATTTTCAAATCAAGAATCAAATGCGTCCTTACTATCTTTGTTATTCTCTCCATAATATCTCACTATTAATTTCTCTATAACTCTTTTTTTGTTGCAAATTTCTTTAAAAATATTAGATAATAAAATTTGTGAAAATAATTTAAAGTGGGTGAAAAGACTAAAAGGGGAAGCTGGTGGTAGTCATTGTGATAGGTAGGTGCTTGTCTCAATTAAAACTAAAGAAGGATGAGGTGACCAAATGACCTACTACTTGCATGAGGACTAGGCCCCAATTTTCCATTTTTTTTAATATATATATTATTGCAGGAATATAAATACTATTTTATTTATTATTTATTGTTTGTCACGTTTTGTCAAGCATCATTGAAAGATAATTATTAATAAAAATAAATAAATTATTGTGTGAATAAAAAGAATATTTATATTCTCAAAACCATAAATAAATAAATAAAAAGAATATGTATTTTTTTTAAAGAAAATAAAAAGTACTGGTCTAGTACTAGAAGATTTTTAAAAAATAGCCGATTGGTCATATTCTTTAAGAATTTCCTCAATTTGGTCATTGATCTTATAAAATTCTCAATTTTACCGTATTAAAATTTTCTTATTTAGCTCCTTGCTTCAAAAAAAAAAAAAACAACAACAAAACAAAACAAAAACATAAAAGCTATAATTTTTTGACGTAAAACTTTGTTTTTGTATATAAAAGACATAAAATTGAATGTGTTATAAAATTAATCAAATAAAAAAATAAAAAAGATGCGTTAGCTATGATCCCAACCAAGGACGCCAAAGCTAATATATTTAAAAAAAAAAAAAAAAAGAATGCGCTAAAAAATAAAATGAAGGATATGTTAGTTGCAAAACGAACCCAAAACGCGAGGCTAGGGCGCTAAAAAAGGGGAAAAAAATGGTGTGTGATACTTGAAATTCAAACACATGACGTGAGTTAAGGCAGGAAAGCAAGAGAATGGGAAAACCACTCAGTCAAATTGTATTTTGTTTACAAGATAACTGAGGTTCAAATTTCGATGTTGATGAAAATATCGAGATATCGATTTTACACATATGTTGATGTTGATGGATATTTTAAAAAATATTATGGAAATTATGCAAATTGATGAAAATTATTTTAATTTAATTAACAAAACTTTATAAGTAACTCAATTAGGTTATAATTAGTCACTTTTAACCCTAATACGTAGAATATGAGTAACTTATCTATAGAAATATTGATGTGGTTGGTGTAAATGTTGAAACAATATAATAAAGATTGATAGAAATGATGTGAACTAGTAAAATATTGTTTAATTATGTTTTATTGATAATTTAGTTTTTAGTTTGTTAATTATTTAGGTGAATTACTAATGCCTAGTGCCAATGGTGAATATCACGTGATGAATGATATATTTTCCAAGTCGATCTTTTCCATATGCATTAGATGATATAACATTTAAATCATTCTAAAAACTAAAAAATAAGAAGTGCACTATTTTAAAACAGAGGTACCAAAATGACATAAAATAACAAATTAATCTCATGTAATGGTTACTAGAGGGCAGCCGCATTGGAGACCTCATCAACAAAAGCCCCAATATTGACGTGGGAAGAACCTCCTTCTCCAGTCGCTTTCTTGGCCAGCTCCTTCCATTTTCCGACATTCCTCCTCAAAATCTCCCCCTCCGCTCTGGGATCCATCACAAGCTCCAGGCATCTCTTGATCTCCCCTCGCTCCACAATGTCATCACCATTTGCCCTCAACCTCACGCCACTCTCCGACAACTCCTCGATGATCTTCGCATTGGTCCCCTGATCTGTCCACTGCGGAAACGCCACCACCGGCACCCCACACGCAATGCTCTCGAGCGAAGAATTCCACCCGCAGTGCGTCACGAAACACCC